ACGGAGGAACCTGCTGGTGGGGGGGTGGGGTAAAAATCTCCATTAAGAGCTTTTTTGTTTACTTTCATGGCATATATGTTCGTAAATAATGTTTATGTTCGAGGAATTGATATTGCTCTTTTATCAAATTGAGTTGCGGGAGAGTTTAGTTTTATTATATATATATTCCTCACTTCGTCTCCCATGAAACGTTACCTTGGATTGTAGAGGTGAGTTTCATCTCTTTTCAAGGGAATTCCTAGTTTCTGACATGCATGATGGAGTTGATATTATGTAACTACAATTGTTGTTCACGTTGAACCCATTGATAGCGTTATAAAAGAGCTGTGTATCTTTTTTCATTTGTTTCTCGCTTACAATACGCGCAAAACGTTACCGTGGATGTAGAACTTGATCAATTATATCTTTTGGCCTTTCAACTCCCATCATAAAATCTACTTTTCCTTTTATATGCACTTAGAATTAAGCGTTTTGATTATTACAATGTATGCCATGGAGTTTCGGATATGCGATATAGAATAAAGGGCTGTTATCCATCCATGTCTCTTTCGACCTTGGCCGAGCGAAGCCATAGAAAACGGTAACTATTTAAATTAAAGTTACTCTAATGTATTATTAACCTATTCACACATCTTAGTCTTCATTCACTATCGACCTTGATTTCCACTGTTGCTAACTGCGAATACCAAACTCCCAATGATTAATTTGCCCCTGGCATTACCCGTCTTAAAAGAAAATGTCATGACAAGGCCAAAAATACATTACTTTCTCCTACTTTGACTTTCAAGGATTAGGCCTAAAATCGAACATTAAGGATGTATGTCATATCCAGTAATGCATTTTAAAGTGTATTCTAATCCTGATATTATCAGTGACTGATTGGTTTTGTACATTAAGCTCTTCCTGTATATTTGCTTATACCAAAATATGAACGTCAGTGTTAAAGTTATAATGGGTTTAAAAGTGTGTATTCATATGGTTTATAAGGAAATAAACAATATTATTATATAGAGTGCTATTGATGATGGAATATAATGATAAGGACTGATTACAGTAATGCTTTATAATGATAACTGATACATTAAGAAATGCAAATAGCAATGGAAGTTATAATAACAACGATAATGTAATTACTAAATATAACTAACTAAAATGATAATAATAATATATAATAACAAATAATAATGATAACAATAATAATAATAATCATGAGGGTAATGACAATTATAGTGATAGTACAACAACTACTACTACTAATGATAATGGTAATAGTTATAATACTGAAAATAATAATAATCAAAAATAATAATGTTAATAGTAATGATAATAATAATGACAATAACAATAACAGATATAATTATGATAATCGTAATAATAATAATGGCAGTAATGATTATAATAATATCAATAATGACAATAATAATGATGATAATAATAATAATGATAATAATGATAATACTTATGAGGATAATAATGATAATGCTTATGATGATAATAATGATAATACTTATGATGATAATAATGATAATAGTAATAATTTAATATATTAAATATAATAATAATAATAATAATGATAACGATAGCAATGACAATGATAATATAATAATGATGATAATAATATAATAATAATAATAATAATAATAATAATAATAATGATAATAAATGATGATAATGTTGATAATAAGAGTTAAACACCTTATGCCTTGAATTATATTGCAAATGAGTAATGGCTTGAAGTCAGTTCACTGTGGTGTAAAATGGGATGATAATTGGCAATATAAATATTGAAGAATTGCACGCACCCATGCACACACGTACGCGCTTACACACTCACGAGAGAGAGAGAGAGAGAGAGAGAGAGAGAGAGAGAGAGGAGGAGAGAGAGGAGAGAGAGAGAGGGAGAGAGAGAGAGAGAGAGAGAGAGAGAGAGAGAGAGAGAGAGAGAGAGAGAGAGAGAGAGAGAGAGAGAGAGAGAGAGAGAGAGGGAGGAGAGAGAGAGAGAGAGAGAGAGAGAGAGAGAGAGAGAGAGAGAGAGAGAGAGAGAGAGAGAGAGAGTAGAGAGAGAGAGAGAGAGAGAGAGAGAGAGAGAGTTGATGAGAGAAGAGATTTTTAAGCTCTTTTTGATGATAGTGATTTTTTAATTCCTATGGAGACCTCCTTTAATAGTATACTCAATGTGATGAGTATGCCATTACAAAATACACTAATTGCATCATACTGAACAGGGGACAACGCTATGGAGGTGGCGTGACGAATAACAATAAAGGTAGTGGAGATGATGGAATTTGACATCGGTAGCGAAGGGCTTGATATGGAAAGCACGAAAACTAACCTGGAATCGAGGAACCAACCGATCAGCCAATATAGGCCTGCACAGAAACTCGAAGATGGTTTACACTCAACGGTCGACTCAGGACAATTGCATTAAGCGCCACATCAGAAATTTGCTTGGGACGGATAACCTACATGTTAATAATTTACTTGACTGGGACTTTTACGTCAGAAGTGACCGTGTGGCGAGGCGACATCGCTTTTGTTGTTGGCTGTACTTTGTATTAGAGTATTAATAACAATACATTTAAGTTGCCCCCTACATCACGTTTTCTATGTACGTGCGTCACCTGCTGACAAGAATGTAGACTACTAATTCTGCCATACAACTTTGCAATATCTTGATAAAAAAAAGCAGCATTTTACAAGGCAGCGTATGCTTAACCGTATTGTTGAAGGTTATAAGATCCAACGTTAGGAAGATGGCGACGAACACGGGAATACCATTGAGGATTATTTAGAACAACGGTTCTAGGATACTATGTCGCGGGGAAACTCATATTGGTGCGACACAGCTTCCGTTTCGCAAGTGGATAATATGTCGCGGGGAAAACACGTCGAATTGCCATGAATGTCAGTACGTTGTGGTCAATTGTCGACAAATCAGATTTATGAAAAAGTGTTTGAATTACTACAAAAATCATTTGTTACACTGAATGTATAATTAGGATGGTATCAGACATAAACCATTTATCATAATTCTTCCTCTAGGTATTAGTAAAATCTATTTGTGATGAGTATAACTTTATTGGTCAGTGGGGATCACCATTGCTTTGCCTGTTTGCTCCAGATATTGCAAATCTACAAGGAAATAATTTAAATTTTGCAATATGCGATTTGATCCTCTTGACGGCAACAACAGTTGGTATTAAATGATCCCAGCCGACTTCGAATGTTTACAATATGCACGTTGGGCTCTGCTGATAATGCTGCTCGTTCCTTAATGGCACAATTTCCCTATTGACGGTGTGAACCTTGGCATCACTGGTTGTCTTCACATCCCCACAGAACTTTGTCATGATAATCCCTAACCTTCGTAAAAAGATGCTGGCTAACACTTTCATAGTTGCCCGTTGTGACTGAATAGGCCTATTATGCGACAGGCCTCGACGACGTTGCCTAAAGAAAGTAGAGGAGGCTAATCGTCACTCAGTCTTTCGTACGATGAAACATCGAGCTCGGGGTAGGGTGGTAATGGTAGCTCCTTTTAGTTCTCCATGTTGCATGATATTTCAATCAATTCAGTAAAGTTAGATTTGCGAAGTCTAGCTTCGCCCGGGCCTTTTCTCTTGAGTGGCCCGGCCTGTGTCAACTATTTCTAGTTGACTCGTGTTTTCTTTGAACTGGATGCTCATCGTAGTGGCTGGATTGCAAGCAAGCAATCCAGCTGCCATGTAGTAAGCATGTGGCATACCCTTTTTACCAGCCCGGCGGCTGTAATGGGTGGTCCCTGTCTTAAAAATTGTGTTGACAATTCGGCAAATAAATGTAACAGAGGGTGGCGTTAGGCAGGCCGCAATGCTTGCACTCCCTGACATCCTCGTTATCAATAATTTGGCAAGCGCATGGGTAACCAAGTATTAATCTGTGCAGTATGACCGGTACCTCTTTAAATTTGGAGGAAGAGCCAGTGGTTCATAGCCTGTGGCAACTTAATACCATTTGGCAGCGAGCGAATTTATGGTATTTTCTCAGTGTGTGCGCCCCGGAGAACTGCACACTGCAGCTTTGGAGGTTTGGCTCAGTCTCCTTAGGCTTGGTTTAATGGTCATGGAGGTTGGGGACATACCCCTGCCCTTTTCGGCTAGTCTGTCAACAAGCTAATTCCCTTGGATGTTTATGTGGCTTGGGACCCAGTTTATGATGATTCTTCTACCCTGACCAAGGATTTTTTGAGCTATGGTAAGTACAGATGTCAGAAGGTCTTGGGGCATGCTATGCTGTAGACTGTCAATAGTTGCTCTAGAGTCTGTATGTGTGGCCACGTGTCCATTCCTTAGGGACGCGTGTGTCAGGGCTTCCATGATCGCAACCGTTTCAGCTTGGAGCGATAAGGCATTGTCAGTGACCCTAATGGATGTTGTGCTATCCCTTGCTGCGAAGACGGCGCCTGCAGTGTGGTTTATGGGATCCACAGATCCATTCGTGTAGTATGTTATGCTGCCCGCAGGAGTTATTTGAGCAATGACCCTTTGTACTTGTGCCTTTAGCCTAGGCATGCAGTATTGATCTTTTCTCTTTGACAGGTTTATGACTGAGAATTCGATCACATTGTTTTCCCTCGGCGGGGGTTCTTTATAGTCAGGGTGGGGGGAGTCCATGTCCTTGGCAAGCAGTGGTTCTTTGAACTGGAAGCGTGTCAACACTCTGGCTGTGTGTGTGAGCCACGAGTTGTCTTGGAACAGCTGATAATCCTGCTATAGGCGTCTGAGAACTCTCTGTCTTAGATATGAGTGTCAGGGTGCCTGCAAGACCTTGGAAAGGAACTGTGCAGCCATTGAATCAATTCGGGTGTCCAGGGACGGTAAATTGGTCTCCATGAGGAGGTTGATGACCTTTGAACATCTGGGAGCACCCAGAATGATCCTGGCTGCTTAATTTTGTATTTCATTTTTTCTTTTAGTGTTGTGCTGGAAGCAATGAGGGTGACAGAAGCATAGTCAACAATA